GTGTTCCCTCTTCTCGACCCAATCGCGTCAGAGCGATGCCCACCCCCCCTGTCGTCACCTCATGCGCGTCGATTGGCATCGGCTCGGCACGGACCAGGAGAGGAAGGACAGCGTGGCCGCATCGATGTCAGCCGAGGCCGTCTACGATGCCGTGGCCGCCATGGCTGCCAACACAGATGAATAATGGTCCATCAGCCAGAAGCCTTGACATCGTCGACGTGCGCACCATTTTTGGAAGCCGAAGCTCTAGAGGGCCAGCCGGCTGTCAGTGGCTGATGGTGTGGGATTTTGCTGTTGTCTTTCGTGCTGTGAGTGAGGGATTCGGAGTGGGGGAGAGTGAGTGTGTGAGAGCATGTTCGTTGCTTGTCAGTCGAGGGAAACATACTCGATATGCTGTAGTGGCTGCGGTAAGATTATAGGACCTGGGTCGCGTCCTTTTGTAGACTTGTACACTGCAGAGATGCTTAGGTCGACGTGACGCTTTTGGTAAGGTCGATGGGGCGAGATAAGGTGTAGGTGGCGTATGGCTTTCTGTGTGCGTGTGCGGTGACTTGGTAGAAGCTCTTGGTAGAAGCTCAGGCATTCCTTTATACAAGGAAGCTGTGCGTGGGGGGATTGTGGGTTTTTTCGCGGCACTAATTGGTGCATTCATTGATATGTTAAAGGGGTGCGAGAGACGAGGGGGACTCTTTCTTTCTCCCTGTGTGTCTGTTGGGAATGAGTAAGCCACTCATGCAAACAGACAGAGAGGGTGGTCTGTGTATGTGTCTATGTCTGCCGACGACGTGCGGCAGCGAGTGCACAATTGCGAGACTCCCATGCAATCAGTGAGCTGTATCCTCGCAATGAGGAGGTTTTTTTTTGGCAATGTAGAGTGTTCTTCTGCCAGTTTTGTGGCATGCAATCACTGCTGGGCGTTCCTATGATCAGCGACAGCTACATAGACGCCTGATTGGGCTGTTGGTAGACAAGGCGGCTTCCAGTGGGCTGAGTTTGGGGCTTGTCTGTGTCTCTGTGGGCTTGTGTGTGGGTCTGTGTGGAACGGTCGTATGGTTGCGTGTTGCGCACCGATTGTGACCCGTTCAAATGCCTTCATGCACTCTACAACCCCGGTCGGGCCGGGTGTGCTCACTGCATGTGTGAGCTGCCTGGAGTTTTGTCCTGTTGTGAGAGTGAATGTCGCTCTACACTGACTGAGAGGGAGAGAGGGGCGGGATGGGGGTGGGGAGGGTGTGTGGGGGCATTTCAAGGTGTGGGATGTTTCCATGTCCTGGGTGACACTGACACTTCTATGTATCTAAATCATTCATTCCATACGATTGACGGATCCGATCAGATGCACAAAAAGACACACACGAATGAAGGCCATGGGTGGTTACTCCGGTGGTCTTGTAATGTCTGTCAGTCTGCCTGCCTGTAGCATGATACACAGAGTGCCATGCAGCACAGCTGCATGATCCTCCATGCGAACGATCAGCTTCTCTCTCGAGAGGCCTCCACGAGTTCATGGGCGGCTCGCAACTTGCTCTCCTGAAAGCAGATAGGTGCCAACCAGCAGCCACACGCGCAAGTGCCTTGTCGGTGAGTGCTTACGAGCATGCGAATGAGTCCATTGCTGTGGGTGTCCTTCCGTCTAAGTGCACGGTCGATGGCCGACGCAGCGATCCGCACCTGAGGCTGCAACCTGGGCGCGCCACCGGCACAGCAAAGGTCAAACGACACACCACCACCTACAAACACACACACACACACACACGAGCAGGTGTGTCGGGCTCTCTTTGTTCCTCCATTGTTTTACCGTCATTGCAAGCTGCTTCAGACCTGGTGCTGTGTTGTTGTCGGTCTTCTGTTTTTCTTGGCAGGTGGCTTGGCAGGCCCGCCACCCGCACGCTTCACCCCACCACAGGCCCGCACGGTTCACGCCACCACCACCAGCAGCCACCTGCACACAGACACGACGAGAGGCGTCAGATGGAGGTTGTCGGCACTGCTCTCTATCTCACCTTTGTCGGTTTCGCCTTGGGCGGCTTCTTGCTGCTGACTGGTGGCCCGAGACTGACGCCGAGGTCCAGGTCCTCCCAGTCGAGTGAAGGCGGCTCGAGCCAGTCATGCAGGAGGTCGCCCTGGCCGCACCTGTGTACTCGAGACCCGGGCAGAGTGGGAGGGATGGGCGGGGCAGCGGGCGATGCACTGATAGATAGAACTGCAAAGAAAAACACAGAGATGATTGATCGTCACGTCTGCGTGGTTGGGTGTGTGTGTGTTGTCTGCTGTGTGTGGCGACTGTCACCCCGATGGACACAGGGGCTCCAGGAAGCGCAAGCACGTTTGCATCCCGGCAGCTGCCTCGGATGCAGGCGGCCGCCTCTCATCGCCGAGGTCGACGCATGTGTCCTCGGGCTCACCATCAGCAGGGCCGCTGACTTGCTGGGCAGGTGACGCTTCTTTGCCTTTGTCAGCTGCACACACAAGACAAATCATCTACTGTGAACCATAGCAGACAGAGATCTGCTTACCCATCTCGGAGTAGTTCACGCCGCCGCATTTGCCCGGTCCATGCCTTCTTCACAAAACCACAAACTGAGGATTCAGTGAGGAGCAGAACTTGATACTTGAGTCCTTCTGCCCCAATGCCCGATCCCAGACAAAGGAATCTCTGGCGGCGGAGATCCTCTCCGGAGATCACGTGGGAGAACATCCTCAGCTCGCGCATTTTCTCGCATCTCACAATGATGATTCTTCCGTCCGTCGTCTGCATCTCCCTCTTCTCTTCTCTCGTGGCGTGCGCGCCCCTCCAGCGAACCTTGCGGCAAACCCATCAGACGAGCGGATTCCCTGCCCTCCCTCGTGGATGGCGTGACCCTAGGCGGCTGAAGCTCCTGCAACGGTATGCCCCCTTTCTTGTGGATGACTGGGAAAACTTAGATGGCAGCGTGCGGCGAGGCGACAAGATCCTTCCCTACACCGAAATGGAGGAGCTGGAGCGGTGCGATTCGTGTCAGGAGGATGCGGCGGCCCTGTTCGAGTGGTCTTATGAGTCTGGATTGGTTGACGACGAGTCCATCTTCACCTTTGAGACCAACCTGTGCGTTGTGCCCTTCATCACGTGTGTGCGGCTAAGTGAGGCGCTGGCGGATGGCGGCTCGCGAGAGGGGTATATGATCACGGCGAGCTCGAGAACGCCGCATATTGTGTGGCTGCGAGATTGGAAGCCTTTGGTCTTCTCGCCGTCATTTTATCGGCTCCGGCACCTGATGTGTTTTCTCGCCGATTATATGCCCATGCAGGGGAGTTTGAGTAATGACATCGCTAAGTTGACCTCTCTACGTGTTATCATCTTGCGGGGAGCAGAGGTGAGCTCATTCCAGTGAGTACATTCATCATTTATCCACACACACACACATGTTCGTGTGTACGCTTTCTTCAGGACGGCAGCATGGATCGGTTTGAGGGGCCCCTTCCCGCTACTATCGGGGAGCTCCCGTATCTGAAGGGCCTGTACATTGAACGGATGCGCTCGATGAGTGGTGTCATCCCGCCCTCTGTCTTCAGTCTATCGCGCCTCGAGGCTCTCCATCTCGAAGACATAGGTTTCTCAGGATCTACCCCTCTAAACATCGGCAGCCTCCAGCGCCTACGAGTATTGAGAATATTCAATACCGGGTGGAAGCAATCTTTCCCAGCCAGTGTGACATTTTGTCGCAACCTGACGGACCTCAGGCTTTGGGGCAACGCTCTCGTTGGCCCGCTGCCTGAAGATTTGGGCGCCCTTTCTCGGCTGGAGTGGCTGGATCTGAGCGACAATAAGCTGAGTGGGGAGTTGCCTCAGTCACTGGTGCAGCTGAGCCGGCTGGAGTGGCTGTACCTAGAAAACAATCGATTCAGCGGCCCGCTGCCAAGCGGGCTTGGCACCAACATGGATTACCTTCATATCCTAAGCATACATTCGAATAACGTGGGTAAGACACAGCTGATAGAGACGCAATAAAGTATGTTTGATGCTGCTTATATGCACTAGTTTTTCTCTTTTTTGTCAGTTTTCCGGCCCATTACCCCCCTCCCTCGGCAATGCGGGCAAGTTGCGGCAAGTTTACCTGTCTAGAAACTCGGTACATGCACTTGTCGGTACATGCACTTGTAAATGCATGGCGCCACGCACATTGCTTTATGCACTCTTTTTACATATACAGCTCTCGGGCTCTTTATCGGATACCCTAAGTGGGTGGAAATCGGTTGAGGAGCTCCTTATGAGTGACAACAACTTTAGTGGCACACTGGAGCCGCTCAGAAATCTCACGTCGCTCAGGGAACTGTGGGTAGCCGACAATTCGGTGAGAAGTATGGCGAACAGTGGAAAGCGAGACTTGGTAAATGCTTGTGTCATCTTTTCTGGTATTGCACTTTGAGGGTCACTTGCCTATCGGCTTTCAGACATTGAGGAATCTCACCGAAATCCACGCAGCAAAAAACGGGTGCACTCTGCGACAGACATACGCCGACGGATGCAATTAATGGGCTGGTGAATCACGTTGTGAATCGTCAGGTTGAGGTTGATCGGCTTGTCTAAGCGCGACTACAGGGGCCCAGGATGGTTTGAGAGCGTGAAGCATTTGGATCTCTCATCCAACTATGTCAGTGGGTCCATCGACCTGTCTATCTTCCCTAACCTCGAATACGCCGACCTGAGCAACAATCTCATCACGGGATTTGCCGGCAACGGACGTATCCCATACTCGTTCGCACGCTAGCTATATATGTATCCCATACTCGTTCGCACGCTAGCTATATATATATATACACACATACGCGCACACTGAGATAGAGATATTGTGTGTGTTGTGTCGCGGTCGGTGTGTTTCTTATGTGCATGTCCGTGTGTCAGGTTGCAAGTCTTGCATCTACAGCATAACCTGCTGACCGCCCTGCCGGAGGGCTTCCGCTCAATGCCCAATTTAGAGACACTTAACCTCGCTAACAATCACATCAGCAAGTGGCCCAACTGGGGCTCCACATTGAAAGGCCTCTGTTATTTCTACCAATTAGGTCAGCTGCGACATACCATAGGGGCGGGCAGACAGTTATGTGTGTACACATGTGTAATTTGTGTGTATGTGTGTGTGATGGAATGATAGAAGACGCAGCGTCGGACGGCGGCATGATGGATCTGTTGGAGAATCTGTTGAATTCAACTTACTTTCCACTCCCACCCGACTGGGGTTCTCTCACACACTTGGATGTGTCCAATAATCCCATCGCAGTCGACGCGACCGAGTTTTTTATGCCCCTCAAATGGCAGGACAAGTAAGTGAAGATTACTGGCTTTCTGGCTTTCTGTGACTTGCTCTGTCTCTTTCTGTGTGTGTGACACTTTGCAGGTGTTGGAGGCATCGAATTGTGGGCTGTATGGGGAAGTACGTTGTGAGGCCTCCTTTGTCTTCGACCGTGCGATCCTGGAGGAGCATAAGATGATCCTGGAGCAAGCCAAGACCACTTCATCGACTTCATCGGTAAGCACACATACGTTGGCAGACGCGCAAACACATAATTACTACGCCACGAAATCACTTGGTATGTGGATGTACACAGGTGGCCGATGTGGTGGATATGCCGTTCCCGATGCCCAACCTTGGGAAAATCTCTTTGAGCGACAACAACATCACCGCCATCGACACGACTGAAACATGAAAGGCATGGGAGTCATCGATGTACCACCTTGATCTGCGGAATAACTCGCTCAGAAGAGTGACCAGCTACCCCGACCTCTTTGAATCAATCGACAATCTGAAGCTCTCTCAGAACCCAGACCTGAAAAGAGAGCAGACTGCGGCATGTATCAGCCTTACAGCCATCGAGGTGAGAAGAGATTAAGCGGAGCATTCATACGTGTGTCGCTGGTCGTGGTAGTATATGCATTGTGCCTTTGGTGTGGGTGTGTGTGTGTGTGTGTGCGCGTATTTGTGTGCTACAGAAGTGTCAAGATTTGCGTCGAGAGCTGAATTTGACGCACAAGAATTTCAGTTGGTGTCCATATAAGGATAGAAACGAACGCGAACGGAGAGCATACGAAGACGAACGGAGACCACTCGTACCCGACCCGCTCGGTAAGTGACGCAGCAAACCGGGAGGAGGCATCCACAGGTGGCATCCACAGTGGATACCTCCTGTGTGGCTGGTGTAGGACATTCGGCGCGAATATCGGACAACGGTGAGGAGCGTTTTGAGTGTACAGAGTTTTGCGCTGCAGGGACTCAAGTTGAGGTGAGACGTATGAAGTTGAAGACACAGGACGATATGCGTAGAAGCTGTGCTTGCCAATGCGCTTCTGATAGGTTGATTACACCTTCGACTCGGATGCCCTCTGCCGCTGCCGCACCGGCATCAACTGTACAAAGTGTCCGGCAGGCACATACAGCAACAGACAAGTCGGAACAGAAACGTGCAAACAATGCCCCGCTGATGCAGGTAAGATGCAATAAGTATGTGACGTTTATAGTGACGACTTTCATTCTCCTGTCGGCAGGTTCTGATGAAGGCTCAGCTGCATGCTACTGTCGTCTTGGTTATGAGCGTGGAAACGAGCCGTGTGAGCCATGCACAGCAGGGTCTGTGTTGGCATGCGCACGGGCGGCGCTGACGGAAGTCGCGGCACGTGGATCTGCCAGGACTGCTTGCCTGGCCTGAACTGCTCTCTTCCCGTCAACTACAATGCAAGTGTGCTGCCGTCTTTCTTCCAGCTCACTGTCCAGCTGCAGTCGGATGGCTTATCGCACAACGCCACACGAGAAGTGACGACGTAAGAATGGAAAGCGAGTATCAGGCAAGTGAGAAGAACTTTGGTGCGGTGCTGGTGTCTCGCAGGTACAGTGGTGGCCTGACTTTGTTGCCGATAGTGATGCGCTGCCCATTGCCGTCGTCCTGCAAGGGCACCAACAAGACGGATGGGCTAAACATATGCTCGGTGAGAGAGAATTTCACCACTCGTGTGCGTGTGTGTCTTATCCGTGTATCACGTAGGAGGGGCATGAGGGTTTTGTGTGCAATCGGTGCAAGGCGGGTTTCTCGCGCCAGACGCCCCAGCAGCCGTGCGTTCCTTGTGCCTCGCTGTGGCTGATTCTTCTTGTCAACGCGCTGCTCGTGGTCGCCACTCTGACGGCCATCTTTATCCTCACCGCACTCGCGGAACGGTCAGCGCACACTCCTGTGTCCATCACACGAGGACGCCAATCGGTCGAATTTGCGGCCTCTTGTATGTGTTCAGAGAGGCGTCATCTCCACGTTCTGAAGTGCCCTCGCAGCTGACCAAAATCGGCCTCTCACACATCACCGCTGTACGCACAGAAATATCCAGTCAGCTTCATAAAGCTCTCTTCTTCCTCTGAGTGCAGGTGTGTGGCTTGGCCTTTCTCGTGTTCGACGAGTCCCTCTGGGGCGACCAGATATCGTCACTGGTCGGTCCCTTCTTCGCCTGGGGTGGCGGCGTGCCGCAAAGCTATCAGGTGTGGGAGTGTCTGTTGAGGCCATATGTGGGCGACAAATGCGTGTTGTACCGACACGCCATGTGGCTGGCGCTCCCACTTATTTGGCTTACGGCTGTTCCCCTCATTGGTAAGCATACACACACATCCTAGAGGGCGATGTATTGTGTTCGTTTCTCGCTCGTGTCATGGCTGCAGCGAGCGGCCTTGACAAAGTGCGTAATGCGTTGAAGTCGATGCGATGCAGTGACAGCGACCAATCGACCTCGTTGGCCACCGGCACCTACCTCCGAGCCCTCTCGGCACCGCCATCCGTAACCGATGGCAGAGCCGACGACGCCCCCGCACACGGCCCTCACCAGCGATCAGTC